AACAAAGCTCAAGTCTTCAAGAAGAGAGGAAGGTGGCAGCAATGGGGGATCAACCTTGGGATCAGAAATTGACCTAGGGCATTGTACAAATGACTATTTATATAAGTGTCCCCACTAATTAACATTATTAGTTCTAATAGCTTCGCTAATCATTTTTCTTCCAAACTTAGTATTCTGAACCCAGACATTTTTCTAGGAATTATCATATTTTCATTACAATTTTTCGAAACACTTCACCGGCACGCATTTTATACCTAGTCGGTATTAGTTCTGACATCACTGCTCATTATTTTTACCCCAAACTTGATATTCTTAACCTAGACATTTTTTGAGAAATATTTGTATTTTTATTATAATTATTTGGAATACTTCACCGGTACGCATTTATATTGTGAAGCAGAACCGTTATATGCACTTTTCATCAAAAAAATGATTTAAGCGTTATTTGACCTTCTCGATAATTATTCTAATCTTTCTATATTTATCCAAAGTCAATTATGGAATTATTTTTTAAACTCATAATTAAATTATTTATATTCCTAATTTAACGTTGCGGGTTCTTACAATTTCAGTCTTGAAAGAACTCCATTCATCAAGTAGCTTACTCAACACAAGATCGACAAAAACATTATCATACATATTAGATTTATCATCTTTTAGCTTGTTTCTAATGTTCTCAAGTTCAATTAACTGAGAGGTGATGCTTGAATTCATGTTAAATTTGAATTAAAAAAACTTCTCTGCTAGGAGAGTTTTGAAAAGCTCCTCTTATTTTTGGAACTGAGCATTCAAGTGATCTTATATCTATTTCGCCATCTTATACTCACTATAAGTCATAGCTAGACGAGGATTTAAAGAATTTACCAAGTAATCCCTACAAAAGTCTTTGTCTTAGTTCCATTGATATTCATCCGCTTTTTCAATGATAGATGCAAAATCACTTAATACAATATAGAATATTTCATGTTCTTTTACACCAAATTAAACATGTAATTTCCAACCATGATACTCACTAACATCAAATGATTATAGCTTTATAATATCATAGGAACAACATTTAGCCATTTTTAATCAGAGCTAAGAGTTAGAAAGAGTGCACATTGTAGTCCACGAACTTTAAAGACTTTAATTTTTGTCAAACTGCTCTGTATGGTTGGAATTCTCCAAAACAGACCCCAAAAATGGAATCAGAGTGCCTAAAGACCTTAAGATGGACTACCCCTATTGCCGAAAACCCACCATCCCTGATTTTTTTAAAATTCGCAGGCAAATGTACTTGAAACTTCATATGGCTATATGTCTTTCGTCCGACCTCCGTTTATGTGTGTGGGCTCTGTTCTTTATATATATTTGGTTGTCATCATTGTTCTTGACGTGTAACATGAATTCTCCCATAGTCTATGACTTAAACTGGACAAAAGCATATAGGGCAAAGGTGTGGGTTTTACTATTTTTGTTTTTGTTTTTTTAAAATATGTTGGAATTAATTATATTTATGAAAAAGAAGTTTGATTTGAAAAGATGTGTAATTTCATCGTCAAACGGATGTGTTGTTTCATCTTTGAATGAGTGTCATTTAAATTGTGACCTTATGTTTTTTACAAATATTATGGAGAACAGATTTTTCAGTCTAGAGTTTTTTTCTATTGATTTTGTACATTCTTTGCATTTGTATTCTTCTACTCCAGTGCGATTAATTAGACAAAAGTTGAGTTTGATGAGGCTATTCTATGTGGAAGTGTCGCCACAAGAATAGATGTAATTGTCCTATCATCGGAGATAATTGTCCACGAATCTTGTGCACAGTAGAAAGAGCAAAATTGTCTTAAGAACACATTGTAAAGCAGTGGGCTTGAATTTTTCTTTTTCTTGTATCATATATTTAAGTGTGGTACACTTTAATTTTGTATTATTGCATGATTTGATTATTGCATAACTTGATTTCCTCCATGTATTTCGTGGAACTGCATTTATTGGTGAAGCAATTTTTCTAACAGAGATTATCCTCTCAAAATTATTTTAACATCACTTTTTTAACAAAATACTGAGTCTTATTTGTAGGAGTTACAAGTTAGTTCTATAATGCATATACAATTTTCTTTTTTACTCAATTGTGTGATAGATGGAAAGCTTCATTCTTTAAATTTTGTACACAATTCTTTTTTTTTTTTTTTGAATAACAAAGGAATTAAAAGCAACTAAAAAGTAACTACATCCCTGACCATTCTAGGCCAGGCAACCCCACTAAAATCCCATCCTACATCAGCAGTACATCCATCAGGAGGGTTTTCAAAAAAAGTGATATCACATCCTAGCGATATGGCCAAGTTGGCAAGCCAGTCAGCAACACCATTACATTCTCTGAATGTGTGGACAAACACCAATTGCCAATCCCAAGTCCTCATCAACCTGATTTTGTTAACTAAGCCAGCCAAAGGGTGGTTCCCAGCTACCCCCTCATTGATCATCCCCAAAGCAACAAGGGAATCTCCTTCCACTATTACTTTCCTATGGCCGATATCCCATGCCATTTGCATCCCCCAGTAGATACCCCAGATCTCAGCTTTAATAGCACTGCAATTCCCTAGATTCTTAGCAAACCCCTTGACCCATCGACCAACAGCATCTCGAATTACACCCCCACAGCCTCCTTGCAAACTCCTGACTTTAGATGAACCATCAGTGTTCAATTTAAACCAGCCAACAGGTGGGGCTCTCCACTGCACCAGAGTTACCTTTTTCCTGTTATTCTGCAACCTAGCTTTGCAGTATAATCTATTAGCATCCAGATAGTTAGCAAGATAAGTACAGGCCAATCTAGAAGTATTAACCTCACTAGGAACCTCTCCTTCAAAGATAAGCTTATTTCTTTCCTTCCAGATGAACCAACAGACTAGCCCAAACAAAATGTGACCATTATCTCCATTAACCATACACTTTTTAGGGTCCAGGTTAACATATAGCCAAGCTTGTAAAGGAAGGGCCATGAACTCAAGCCACCTACCTGGATTCACCAGAGTTCTCCAAGTTCTCTCTGACCAAGCACAATCCCTAATCACATGCATACAATCCTCCCTGCCCAATAGGCATCTAGGACACAGGTTTGACTCAGCTATGTGCCTTTGAAACCTCCTTGAGTTAGTTAGCAAGTTCTCACCAAGCAGCAACCACAAAAAAGATTTAGCTCGAGGGGGTCCTAACCAGTCCCAAACAGCATTCCAATGAAGATTGAGATTATTTTTCTCTCCCTCACAAAGCAGGTTGAAAGCAGATTTCATAGAGAAACGCCCATCTTGAGAAAGATCCTATATTACCCTATCACCCTCCTCCTCAGGATTTGGAGGGCATACTCCAGCAATGAGATTAGTAGCTTCTTGAGAAATCAAATAGATGAACTCCTGCCAATTCCAGCCTCCATTTTCATCCACCATATTTGCTACCATCATCCCCTGCAAATCAAATGGGATGTCCTGAGTTTTGTGATTAACAAGAGGGCCAATTGACAGCCACTTATCAAACCAAAAGGAGGTTCCCATCCCATTCCCCACCATCATTTTGGAGCCTTCATAAACCTTATCCCAAACCCGAGAGACTCCCATCCAAAGATTAGAGCAACCTGTCTTCTTGGGAATATTGGCCAACAGTCCATTTTCCACTTTATACTTATTTCTCAGCACTTGAACCCATAACTCTTCTCTATGAGACATCAAACCATGCCCAATCTTCACCATGCAAGCTTTATTAACCAATCTGAGATTATGGATGCCCAGCCCCCCATTAACCTTCGACCTGCACACCACATTCCAAGGGGAGGCATGAATCTTCCTCTTTTCCGAACTTGAGCCCCAGATAAAGCTCCTCATCTTCTGTTCTACAGCTTCACAGGTTCCAATAGGAATAAGAGAAGTCTGCATAGCATAGGAAGGCAGTGCTGCCAACACTGATTTTGTTAGGACAGTCCTGCCAGCTAAGGAAAGAGTTTTTTCCTTCCAAGCACTGAGTTTCCTATTTGTTTTATCCAAGATGAACCCGAAAGTGTTTTTATTCACTCTCTTATGCAGAATGGGGATTCCAAGATATTTCCCTAAATCAGCTGTGACTGAGAAGTTCATGTTAAGGCTTAGATCCTTTCTTCTGATGTGATTCACATTCCTAGAGAAGAAGCACCTGGTTTTACTCCTACTGATTTTCTGACCAGAAACACTACAAAACTGGTCCAGTACATTCCTGATCAGAGAGGCTTGGTCTTCACTAGCTTCTGAGAAAAGTAAAAGATCATCAGCAAAGAAAAGGTGAGATATAGGTGGCCCATTTCTACCCAACTTAACCGGATGGCACTCTTTCTTCTCCACTGCATCATTAATCAAATGTCCTAACCTCTCAATGCATAAAACAAATAGGTAAGGAGAAAGGGGATCTCCTTGTCTAATCCCTCTAGTGGGAGCAAAGTACTCCGTTTGGGACCCATTCCAAAGGATATTCATGGAGGTAGAAGTCACATAGGCCATGATGAGCTCCACTAGCTTCACGGGTAACCCAGTCAAGCTTAAGGTTTCCTCCAAGAAAGACCACCTTACTCTATCATAGGCTTTTTCTAAATCTACCTTAATAGCCATCCAGCCCTTCTTGCCTTTTTTGGTTCTCATAGAATGAAATATTTCCTGGCTAATGATAATATTGTCAGAAGCCTGTCTTCCTTGAATAAAACTGCATTGGTTAGGCATTATTAAGAGGCTCATATGCTTCTTTAGCCTAGCAGTGATAATCTTAGAGACAACTTTGTAAATGACATTACATAAGCTTATAGGACGAAATTGGCTTATCAATTCAGGGTTATCTACCTTCGGAATTAAGCAAACTAAAGTTTGGTTGATACCTGCAACCTTAGGAGGTTCATTGAAAACCTCCATAACCATCTCAGCCACAGATCCTCCCACTGTACCCCACTGTGTATGGAAGAACACAACATGTAATCCATCAACTCCAGGGGCTTTAAAGGGCTACATTTTGAAGATGGTTCTCCTGATTTCCTCCAGCCCAGGATTAATCCCAATGTTTGCCCATTCCTGACTATCAAGCACTGGAAACAGGTTTACAATGTTTGAAATCTGAGCATCCAGACACTCCTCTTTATATAGATTTTTAAAGAAACCAATCACCATCTCTTTTAAGGCTTCTGGGTCTTGTATCCACTCATCCTGCTCATCCTTCAGGGACATGATTTTGTTCCTTCTGTTTCTGGCAACTGTTGTAGCATGGAAAAACCTTGAATTCCTATCTCCATAAGCAAGCCAGTTATTCCTAGACCTTTGAAACCAAGTAATCTCCTCCTGAATGAAGATTTTATTTAGTTCCTGCCATAAATCCCTATGAAGTCTTTCAAGAGATTCATTAGGACCCCTGCTGAGTTGTAAATCCACACCCCTTATCCTTCTTTGGATATTCAACTTTTTCTTCTGGTCCTCTTTGAACTTAAGGTGATGCCACTCCACAGCTTCCTTATGAAAATCCTCTTTAGAAGCAACCCAACCCTTATTACCACTCCAACAGCTTTGCACAATCCCACCAAAGCTCTCATTTGTTAGCCATGCTGCTAAAAATCTGAAGGGCTAGACCCCTCCAGCCGAGTATCCTTCGTTGCCATTTTTCAAAACTAGAGGTCTATGATCAAACCCATAGTAATGAATGTGAGAAATAGATCTATTAGGGAAACTCAGCATCCACCCCTCATTGCCTAACAGCCTATCAATCCTTTCTTGAAGTGCTCCTCTCTTCCATGTAAACTTGGGACCAGAGAAGCCTAAATCTGACAGGCCACAGTCACTTAAGCAATTGGCGAATTCTTGCATGCTTCCCCAGTTCACATCAGCTCCACCTTGCTTATCACTCACTTCCAAATAGGCATTAAAATCCCCCATTACTGCCCATTTATCCAGACCCCTGTCAGCAATATTCCTTAAACCAGACCACAGGGCAGCCCTCTCAGGCCTCTTAGGACTGCCATAAATGAAGGTAAAATTCTCTTCCTCACCCGAAGCTACCCAATACAGGTTTGTATGAATGAACTGATGATTCTCCTCAATTATTCTCACATTGGTAAATCTATTATTTCATAGTAGCCAAATTCCACCAGAGTAGCCCACAACATCTCTAATGAAAAAACTATCAAAACCAAGACTTCTAATGACTCTCTCAGCCTTATTACCACTTATTCTAGTTTCTAGTAAAGCTAAAACTTGAATTTTATTCTGGAACACCATATCCTTTATGAGAGAGGAAAACCCTTTTTTCCCCGCTCCTCTACAATTCCATGTACACACTATGAAAGTGAAAATGAAATAGACCAGAAAACAGACCTCAAACAACCAAAGCATTGGTTGTGCTCCTACTCCCCATGCCATTGGTAATATCATCCAAAGCCATTGCAGACCTTCCTTCCTGGCATAGCTCCTTGCCTTCACCAACACCATCCGGAGGAACTTCTTTAACTCCAGAGGACATCAAAACAGGAGCTACACTACTTCTATTTGTCAAGCCTGCACTACAGCTCCCAGGTTTATTCCCTTTGCTCCCCTTTTCAACCAGGATGGCCTCCCTTGTTATATTGGCTTGCAACTTCCCCTTAGGAGACTCTTGGTAAAAGGAGTAACTCCCCTTAGTCCCCAAATCTTTGTTCTCTGCAACAAGATTTTGTTTCACACCACTACCTCCAGGAATGTTTTTTTTCCTTCTTCCATTCTGGTTCTTTCTCTGTTGACTGGGATCCCCAACAGATTTGGTACTATCAGTTCCCAGCTCAGGGGAGCTCCCCTTCACACCATGAGAACCCTCTCCTGCTACACTATCCAGGGGACCAAACCTTGAACCAGCTGCATCTATTTTCGGGGATTTTCCACCCCCATCTGTTGCCAATTTCTCCTTGCTCACCTGAACCTCCTTTTGTTTCTGGTTCTGCACCTGCCTTTTATTATTCCTTCTTTGAACTGTCATCCAGCTTCCAAAGCCATCTTCTTCTTGGCTTCTTTCGACATCTTCCTTATTCCCTTCTACACTTTGATCATGCTCCAAATTCTGGCACAGGTTCTCTTCCCCAACATCCTTGCTAGCTTTCTTTACATTTTCCGGATTTAACACACATTGGTCCTTCCTGTGACCATACTGGCCACATAGAAAGCAAATCATGTGTAATCCTTCATACCCAATGAACAGTTGCCTCTGCCCAATTCGGAATTTTGAGAGAAGGCTTTTGCTTAAATCAATCTCCACACAAATTCTGGCAAACCTGCCCCTGTCAGTGATCTCTTCTAGTTGCCCATAACCACTGATCCTCAGTGAGCTTTCATCAATCCTCAATGTTCTCCCCACCATATTCCCCATTCTCCATAGGTCTTTGTATGTATAAAATTCCCTAGGGACTCCTGGTATCCTGATCCATATAGCTAGTTTTTTCACCCTGTCATCATATGGGTTAAAATTAGGCCTCCACCTCTGAACAATGAGGTAATGATCAGCCACAATCCATGGCCCCTGCTGCTGCACAAACAGGTAGTCCTGCACTTTCTCAAATTCAACCATATAATGGCTATTTTCCAGATCCAAGACCTTATAATCTCCTTCCAGATTCCAGAGTTTATGCAAACGATTCCAAAGAAATTTAGCACCTAACCTCTTTCCCATGAGTTTGACAATCAAAGCCTTTCTCCAGCGTTTGCATTGTTCAAGCTTTTCCAGGATATCGAATTGGTAAAATGGGTTCAGAGGGTCATCATCTCCTGACTGCTCATATGCCTTGAGAGCTTCCTCTTCTTCGCACTCCTCCCTTTTGCATTCTGCAAACCAATCATTGTCTTCCTCTTCGCGAAAACCATCCCAGACACCATTCACACGCAGAAGATGATCCTTGTAAGAGACCAACTTTCGCGGATCTCTTTTAGGTTCTTCCTCACTCCTAGGCGCTGGAAATGCCCTATCTACATCAATCGGTTGACCCTCACCTCCTCCTTCAACCTCCATTGCGCCCGCAACTAGAGGTTCATCATGCATCACCTGATCCATCAGCAAATCTCCTTTAGCTTTCTTTGAATCTCTCCTAATCACTGTTTCCCCCTCAGAATTTAGGGATCGCGACCCTTTTCTCACCATGAAAACACCGAAAACCTAACAGAGCTCTAAAAAGGAAAACCACGCGCCCACGCGCCTATCATATTCTAATTTAATTTTGTACACAATTCTAAAGAAGTGTCAAACTGACTTTCACACTAAGAATTGGAGAATAACAATCAAATCAAGAGTGATAATTTATTACTGTAAGTAGATTTTTTTACAACTGATAAATAAGCTCGCAAAATAAATAAATAAATACTGAATAAATTACAATTTTTTTTAATCAACTATTCTTTTTTTGACCTATGTCTAAAACCCGCTCTGTTCTATGAGCAGCAAATCTTAACAATTGAATCAATAAAGCTGATGGAATCAAATCCCTTTGCAAATTATCAGACAAGGAAATGGGACTAAAAGGCCTTTTTAGTGTGTGGGGATCTCATTTCACGGAGTCTCCTCTCGTGTGAAAGTGTTTTTGCAAACCTGAAAGGAACAAAACCATATATCTTATTAATATAAATAGATAATTGAAATGTGTCACTGGATTGTAATATGTATCTTAATTAAATGAACTACTACTTATAACGAAGATGTCTATTTTAATGTTACCTTCTGAGAGCATCTTCATTGGTTTCCCAATTTTGAAGTGGCTCACAAAAACCATTATCTAAATTGACCCTGGAGACCCGTTTCTTTAATAACTTTTCACCAATTTGGCAAAGTTTTTCCAAGTTCTCCTTTGTAGAAATGTCAACTGAAGAATCTGTTCCGGTCAATGTGTCATCCTGCATGTTGTTCAACAAATTTGATCATTAATGCTTAATATATATATTTGGCTTATGTTGTTATGTTATTTCTAATTAAAGGAGGAACTATCTAGAGAGAATTTTGTTTTTTAGGAGTATACCTGAATTCGAAGGTAATTATCTTCAGAATGAAGTGCTTGAGTGAGAGTAGATAAATGGAAATCGACCATGTCAGCACTGGATTGAGTAAAAACATCGATTAAGGGAGTACAACCACTATGAGTTAGCCAGTCCAATAGACCCCATTTGGCTGCCATTTTTGCATTGAATTTTTCCTCATTTTTTGCTGTCCCTGTCCCTATTGATATTATTAGGAACCGACCATATTCCATAGGCTTTATTGGAAAGAAATCAGGATTCTCATTAATAATCTGTTTAGTCACTTGGTTGATCGCAACTAAACTCTGCATCATGAAGTTCCCCAAGAAAAGAAAAATTAGCGATGCTTCAAATGTATATAATCATTAGTAATTACATAAAATTTCTAATAACAAATAATAAGTGAATACCGGGTTATTTGCACAAACACCACCATCAATAAGGTTGAATTCGTGCATGTTTCCTTTTGAATCTTGGTTTATGAAGTTGTGAGCAGGGAGATAAGTAGGTGCAGCGGACGTGCTGATGCATATGTCTGAGAGTTTAGCATCCAAGCAAGGGTTCATCTTCAGCTGCAGGAATTTCAAATCTTTTTAGCCTTTGTTTTGATCATCCATTTGGTTTTATTAAATTAAATTAGTAACAGACTTTTCTAAGAATATTTACACATTCAGTATTCCTCATCGGAATGGATCTTATTGTATCAAAATTTCAGTCATGTGAAATTTTGGTGTGTATCTCTTTCTTCTTAAATGATAATTGGACTCCACCTATTTAATGTATGTGAAGAGAAAGCTAGATACAAAATTTTCACATGTGAAATTTTAACAATAGAAGATTCACTTTCACTCCTCAGAGTCGGTCATAATCATTGCCTTTAATCCCTTATACATTTATAAGAATAGTTTTTTAAAAAAAGTTAAAGAGCATAAAGTTTATAAGTAGCATAAAAACATTGATATTATAATTTGATAATGGGATAAGTTATTTTACCTACTTTTCTTCTGATTACCTTTGCCTACTGCTCTTCAACACCATTAGATCAAGAGTAAACACCCTTTTTAGTCTCTGGCAATATCTACGAAGTCCTTTTCAGTCCCTGGCAATAAAAAAAGACCAAATTGGTCCCTGAAAGTACAAGAAAAAGGCCACTCTACATATTTGGGAGTTGACATAAGGACTAACATGGCCCTTTTTTTGTAATTTCAGGGACCAATTTGGTCCTTTTTTATTGCCAGGGACTAAAAAGGACTTCGTAGATATTGACAGGGACTAAAAATGGTGTTTACTCTTAGATCAAAATCTCAATAGGAGAGAGAATGATAAAGATAGTTGAGTTTATGATATAACGATATTGTAGAGTGGTAGACAGAAAAAAAAAGTAAGTAGCTGGTATCATATTTATGGCTTTAATAGTTCTCCTGTTGCTGCAGATCAGAAAATTTGCAGCAACACTTACTTCCACCAGGATCCGGTTCCGTATCTTGGAATATTTTTTTTTTTTAATTTCAGAATCCGTCTCCATATCTTAATGTAAATATATTTGCTGCAAGTTTTTCCATCAGCAGTGACAGCAGAAATGAGGAACCACATATTTATGGGAAAAACGTTTGTCCTTTTAAATGACACAATTTATATCCTTTCACTATTACAAAGAAGTGAGACCCACACCTTTATATTTTTCTGTCCACTCTCTCTCCTCCTTTATCTATCTCTTTCTCTCACTTAAAATGACACAATTTTACATCCTTTAAAATGATACACAATTTTTTCTGCATATTTATACCTATAAATGCCTTAAGCAGATGGGAAACAAATTTTTTTTTTTTCAGCTGGTATATGAAATGATATTCTATTGCTACCTTTAACTAAACAATTGTATTCGTATCCTGAAAGACAGTTATTTCTAAATTAGTCAACAATTATTCCGTTGGAAGAAAATTCATCACACTAGCGAAAAGCAAATAAAGACGTGGAGATGAGAAGATAGAAATAAACCTGATAAGATGAGAAAATAGTGGGCTGCAAGCTCTTAATGTCGAAGGTGGGAATGACAACGTTGGTGAGAGTCTCATGCAAGCGAATGTCACCAAGTTTCTCTCTGACGACCCCATGCAGGTATTTCCCATCATATTTGGGTCCTCCCAGAGATCTTACTACCTTTGCTAATATTGTCCCACAAAATCCTCTGCAACGAATTGAACCCCAAAAACTTTAATTTCTCAATTATTATTATGCCTAAAATTACAAGT